CCACTCCTCGGAAGGAAGGTTGGGCAATCCTACTTCCGTAGTGATACAGCCTCGGAAACCCAAGGAGGGGTCGCTATGAGTCGGGGCCGACTCGATGGCATATAACAACAACAACAAGGAATTTAACAAGTGAATAGTGAAAGAAAGGGCATTTGATGCAGAAGGCAGAATACATGCAGAGGCAAGGAAATCTAAATAAATACGGTGTTTTTAGGGTATTCAGAGAAGGTTGGGATTGCTGAAGGTAAAGTTCTAGAAGGTAGATGAAGGTTCTGAGGCAGAAAGTGAATAGGGACCTTGTGCATTATGTTAAAAAGTTCAACAATGCTAAAAAGATGTAAATGGGGTGTGACGCAAATTTCTATTTTATTTAATTGCTTACTTCAGGTTACAAAGTTTAAGGAATAAATTGCATCTTTGTTTTTAAATCTACATCGGAAGAAATTTCTATTCTATAAAATTTCTATTTTAGAAAGATAGGCATCAGTGTGGTACAAGGGATGCTGTGGAAGGAAAGAGGAGTGAAATAAGTAGAGGAATTAGAAAGCAATTACACTTACCAAACTGAAAGATTCTGAGGGTGTGAACTCTTTAGATAACTGCACACAGCCGCAGATTTCCATTCTGACTGGACCTTAGAATCAGTTATGGGGGTTTTCAATAACACAGACCCCTTTACCTCAATGAGGAACTCTGGTGGCATAGTGGGTAAGGCGTTTGGCTGCTAACCAGAAGATTGGTGGTTCCAACCCACCAGCTGCTCCATGGGAGGAAGATGAGGCAATCTACTTCTATAGAGATTTACAGCCTTGGAACCCAGTGGGCATGGCTGAGTCAGAGTCGACTTGATGGCAGTAGATTTAGTTTTTGGACTTTTTTACCCCAATTTCAGGAACTGCCCAAATAGAAATGACTCCTTTCTCTGGATTATACTTCTGTTTTATTCTCTTAATTATAATGGAGGGGAAGTTTCAGAACACTGAAACACAGAGACTGGCCCAAGGAATTTTACTGTCCCTTTAATTCCTGATCCAAGAATATGCTGAATCACATTCATATACTATGCACTGCCTTCAGCCCTCCATAACCTCCAGCCAACTTCATGGGCATGATCTAGTGATTGCTTGGAGACAGAGAGGAGACTAGTGGGGAAGAGTCTGGTACCTCTTATCACCTCCTATTTAGAAGAAACTCTGGCGCCTTGTGGTGATATCAGTCTTAATTTTTTGTGTCATGTGAGACATTTACAGTGCTGATTTCCAAACCTGTCTTTCTTTTCTAATTCAAAGGACTAAGGGGAAGATTTTTTCCCCCAGTTGTCTGAGAAACCAAAAAAAACAAAACTCACTGCTGTCGAGTCATAGCGACCCCTCCTTGAGCTTCCAAGGTGGTATCTCTACAGAAGTAGATTGCCCAGTCTTCCTTCCAAGGAGTGGCTGGTGGGTTTGAACCACCAGTCTTCTGATTAGCAGTCAAATACCTTAGGCACTGCACCACCAGAGTTCTCTGATAGAGACATAGAAAACAAGCCAACATGATTTCAAATAATGAAGCTTTGAGCAGGAGATCCTATTAAAAAAAAAAAACCTAACCAAACTCACTGCCATAGAGTCAGTTCGACTCATAGCAAGCCCTCCTTGGGTTTCTGAGGCGGTATCACTATGGAAGTAGATTGCCCAATCTTCCTTCCAAGGAGTAGCTGGTGGATTTGAACTGCTAGCCTTCTGGTTAGCAGTCAAATGACTTGGCACTATGCCACCAGAGCTCCCAGGAGATCCTATAGGAATTACAATTTCTCCTTCTTCAGTCTAGTTGTCATCGGGGAAAAAGGCACATGAAACTTCATATAACTTACGTAAGAACAGTAGATAATGTATCAGTTTGTTCATTCTATCTGCTTCTCATAGTCATGTTAGAGGGTTCCAAGGAATCTGAAAGTCTTCCATTAATAGAGTGAATCCTAGGCATCGATTTATTTTTCTTAAAAACACAACAGGTGACTCTAGTGTCCACCCATAATAGAAAATGATTTCCATAAAGCTCGTCATCTTTGTCCATTGTCTTAGCTACTATCGGTTTAGTGAGGCTGTTTATTGGCAACTAAAGCAGTACCTGGAACATGGTGGGTGTACAGACTTTTGTGTAGTAAATGAATGTACACATTCAAGAAGGCTAAGAACATATTTACTATTCAAGATATGATTCCTAATTTGCAGTTTGGGGAAAAAATAAAGCATTTTATATAAAAAATAATTCTTAATACTTGTAGTTTTTTCTCCCCTTTATGTTTTAAAAGATTCTAAGAAGCATTCTAATAAACTTTTATAAGGTACAGTTATAAATTTAATATGATAGGGAAAAAAATGAACTAAAAGCTAAACATAGATTCATCTTGATTTAAATACAGATTCATCTTGATTTATGTTCTAGGTGAAATTATTTTGGCTCTTCGCCAATCAGATCTTCTTCAGAAAACTATTGTCATATTCACCTCAGACCATGGAGAGTTGGCCATGGAACATCGACAGTTTTATAAAATGAGTATGTATGAAGCCAGTGCCCATGTTCCACTTTTGATAATGGGGCCAGGAATTAAGGCCAACCTACAAGTATCAAATTTGGTTTCTCTTGTGGATATTTATCCTACTATGCTTGGTACGTAATGCAATTCTGTAAATACTTATATGTAATAATGCTGGAAAATGAAAAGCAAAGTAGTCAGAAGCCCTGCTGACTTGGTTTATAATCTTAAGCAACTCATTTAATGATGAATGAAATCCATACTCTGAAAAATGAGGAAAATACTCATCTTTCTTTGTCCATCACTTACTACAGCCATTTTCCCTTCAAAAGATTAATAATTAAGATATGACTATAAATTAAGTCATGTAAGATACTCAGGCTCATAACTTTATAGATATGATTTGTACAACCTTTCATTCTCTACCATCACTCCCTCAAATGTATGTGTTTCCTTGCTGGATTATTCCAGCTACTTTGAAACTACTAACTTTATACAGTGACACTTAATCTGCTGTTATGAATATATCAAGGTCTTTAGATAGTTCTTTACTTGATGTTTGCTTTCCTAGTTTCTTAATATCTATACGCATAACCACAGGTGTAGAAGAGCAACATTTGGATAGGGGTAGTTAAACTCACTGCCCTCGACTCAGATCTGACTCATAGCAACCCCTCCTTGGGTTTCCGAGGTGGTATCACTACGGAAGTGGATTGCCCAAGTTAGCAGGTTTTATAAAGATGCTAAAATAATGCCATCATTGAATTCAAAGAAAACTATGTAGAACTGACTCTTAATTTCTTTGTAATTTAGCAGAGAATACTTAACTTCATTAATATTTAAATATTATGGTTCCTCTCTTCTAAGAGATCATCAGTTCATAAACATTTTGGTGAAAGAAAAGATAACACAATATAAAATGTTATCTATAGATTCTAATTCCAGAAAAGTTAAAATATGAAAGAAACATGCATCTTGTTGCTGTTGTTGTCAGTTGCCATGTAGTCGAGTCCAGTGTTGGTTTCCATAACTAACCCCATGTGTGCTGAGTAGAACCACTCCATAGGGTTTTCAAGGCTATGACCTTTTGGAAGCAGATCACCAAGCCTTTCTTCCAAGATGCCTCTAGGTGTGTTTGAACCACCAACTTTTTGGCTAGCAGTTGAGCAAAGAAGTTAGAGAGTTCTATTTATCTCCTTCCTCCTCCTACAAAGTCTCTTATTCATTTAATTTAAGACTATTCCAGGGCCTTAAATTTCTTTACAATAAATTTAAAACAGTATCCTTTCTTTTTACTTTCAGATCACTTCTTGTATTTGAACATACTTCTTGTTCTTTAGCAGGATGTGTTATTCCTTTCAATTTCTTAGTCATCATATGATGGTTCTCTTTTATCCCAAAGCAATTACACACTTAAACTTTCTGACTACATCAATTTCCAACCCATCTCTATTACTTTCCCTCATTAGTTTTTGTAAGAAACACAGTAGTTTCTTTTGTGTATTTGTGTGTGTATCTCCTACTATCATCTTCATAGTTTTATATAATAATGCTTATTTATGTTGGCATTTCTTTACAGTATCTTCTCCCAATTTTTCCTCATGTACAACTCTACTCACCCCACCCTGCTTCCCCAAAAAAAGCCTCCTCTGAGTTATCATATTTGCATGACTTTGTTAGCTTTGTTTTGTTTTCTTAAGGTATAATGACAGAACTGTGAAAAATATTATGATTATTTATAAATTTAAAGGTTTAGGGCAGTTCTGTCTCAGATGTTCCCTCAAGTTATTATTTATTTAAAGTTAACCTTTTTTATAAGTAATAAAAGGTAAATATTCATAAAACTCTTACATATCTACAAGAAGAAGAAAAATACCCTATTAGTGAAATGACCAAAGGATATTGTTATATATTGAATTGTGTCCCAAAAAATGTGTCAACTTGGTTAGATCATGATTCTCATATATTATGTACTTATTCTCCATTTTGTGATCAGATATAATTATCCTATGTAGTATAAATCCTAACCCTATGATGTTAATGAAGCAGGATACAATCTAGAGGATTAAGTTGTATCTTTGTTATATAATGTCTTTCCTTGTTTCTGATGGTGGTTTTTGTCTTAAAGTCAGTTTGATCAGAAATTAATATTGCCACCCCTGCTCTTTTTCAGTTGCCATTTGCTTGATATATCTTTTTCCAAACTTTGATTTTTAGTCTATTTTTGTCTTTATCTCTAAGGTGTGTCTCTTGTAGACAGCATATTGATGGGTTATGTTTTCTTATCCAGTCTGCAACTCTCCGTCTCCGGAGTGGTGCATTTAAATCCATTGATGTTTAGTGTAATTATTGACAAGTATAAATTGGTTGCTGTCATTTTGTTATATGTTTTTTTCATGATGTTCCTGGTTTCTTTGTTCAATATAATTTTCTTTGCTGAGCTCATTATGTTTATGAATCCTGTTATCATTTCCTTTGTTGCTATTGTTTTAGTATTTGCTAAATATTTGTGCATGTCCTTTTTTTATTGTGATGTGAAGGTTTATCATTTTTCTTTGAGGTTACCCTGTGATTTATCATTTTCTCCCAAAGTTTAGAACAGTCCATTCTATATTGCAACTTCCTCACCATTTAGAAGTTCTGTAACTACACGGTTTTTTCCCTCTTTTGGGTTTGTAGTTGTCCTCATTTGCCAATTGATGTCTCTTGTTCTCTGTTTACAATCTTGTAAGCTTATTTTGCTTTGGATACTTCCATAGCTATGTTGGTTTCTGGGTTATGTCATCTTGTATATTAATGGTCAGTTGTTGTTTGCTATTATTGGTTCTCTGTTCAAAAGACTCCCTTCGGTATCTCTTGTAAGGTTGGTCTGGTTTTAACAAATCCCCTTAATTTCTGCTTATCTGGAAATCTCCTAATTTCACCATATTTGAGGGACAGTTCTGCTGGGTATATAATTTCTCATTGGAAATGTTTCTCTTTCAGGGTTTTATATATACCATCCTTCTGTCTTACATGGTTTCTGCTGAGAAATCAGAGCTTATTCTTATTGGTTGTCCTTTGTAACTTTTCATTTTTCCTATGCGGCTTTCAGGATTCTTTCTTTGTCTTTGGTTTTGGTGAGTTTGATGATAATACGTCTTTTATTATTATTATTATTTATTATTATTATTATTATTTTAAGAGCTTGTTTTACATTCAACATTACATGTATATTTAGTTTCACTCCCCATTTATCATGTCCAACCCTAACCCAGTCTCCTCCCCTCCCTGCCTTGTAACCCTCCTCCTGTGCCCTGCATATTTATGCACTCCTGTTTGTCCTGCATTTCCTTTATTTGAATGTTGGACCTCTGGTGCCCATGGTCTATTGCTCTAAGGGATGTATTACCATAGAGTATGTGGGTGCATCATCCTGGGTTGAGTGGTCTGCATATATATCTTGTTAACTATTGGGCTGAGCTAGCCCCTGGGGGTGAGTTTTATTCTAGGCGCAGAATGTATTCCAGGGCCATAGTATTGGGGGTCTCATCAGATTTCATCTGACAAATAATCCTGGTCATTATTGAGTTTTTGGATTTTTATTCCATATTTTTCCTCCCACTCTATCCAGGATCTCCAGATTTGATCCTTTCCTGAGTGGTTGGCATTGGTAGCTGGGTACCATCTAGTTCTTCTGGTCTCGAGGGCCATTGTGTCCTATGGCTGATTGCTTCCAAATGCCCTTTTTTTTTTTTCACATTCGTCTTCACTTCCGATGCTAGTAGACCATTAGCTGCATCTTAGATGACTGCTTGAAAGCTTTTAAGACTCCAGTCACTACTCACCAATGTGGGATGTGGAACAAGGCTTTTATGTATTTTGTTGTGCCAATTGAGTCTGGTGTCCCCCAGTACTATGGTCCTGAGATGGGAGATCTAGTGGATCTCTCCATAGTGTCTGGTTGTCTGTGAGGGATTACTCTGTGTCTGTCTTCTATTGTTTCTATAAAGACTGTAGGTATTTTGTATCACTGGTGTCTGTGCAAGATTAGCCTGAGCTGAATCTATCCTCACTCTAGAGTATACTCCTGTTCACTGACCCCCGTCTGATCCTCTCAAATTTACCTGTAGCCTTGTGTTTGGTGTTAATGGCAATACAGTATCGTGGACACATTGGTTGGTATTAGCATCTGTCGTTTACCTCTTATGTGCACAATTTGGTGTCCTCCTACTTCCTAATGTTATCATGGTGGTCACAGATCCTTTCCATATATCCCTCCCCCTACCCACGTCAGCATGTGGGCCCCAACTAGCCCAAAATTAATCCCTCCTTTTCCCTCCCCATCCTGGTAACCTACAAAGTGAGTTCCCTTTCCCAAGCAAACCCTTCTTTGTCTTTCTATAGTAATGGGCTCATAAAGTACTTGTCTTTCTGCGATTGACTTATTGCACTCAGCATAATGTCCTCCGGGTTCATCCATGTTGTGAGATGATTCACATATCCCTCATTGTTCTTTAATGTAGCATAGTATTCCATTGTGTGCACATACCATAATTTGGTTATCCACTCATCTGTTGATGGGCATTTAGGTTGTTTCCATCTCTTTACTACAGTGAATTGTGCTGCAATGAACATAGGTGTCTGTTCGTGCACTATCTCTCACCTCTTTAGGATATATTCCTAGTAATGGAATTGCTGGGTCAAATGGTACTTCTATTTTCAGTTTTTTAAGGAAATGCCATACCGTTTGCCACAATGGTTGTACCATTTTACAATCCCACCAGCAATGCACAAGAGTTCCAATCTCT